GGCGGGAGCCTCGGAAGCGCGGCAGAGGGGCAGCCGGGAAGAGAGGGAGATGATGTGGTCGGATCGGGTCTGATCTGATTGGTAGATACGGCACTTCCCCTTCTTGCCCCGAGTGTGATAGAGTGCTCAAGGCTGTCATGGAGAGGCCGATCGCCACGCGGGAGTGTGGCCATTCCTTCGGGATTTTCCTTGCACCGACGAGCTTTTTCTCTCCACCCGGGGTGGAGATTTAGTGCATGGTCGTGGTGGTAGTACAAGGATGGATGGGTGGGGTGAGTTTTGATCTCGATTTGTTGTTGCCGGCCGATTGTGTGCATGTGTGATTTGCGAGAAAACAACCGCTGTGTGCTTGCTGCACGATCCGATCCCCCGAAGTGTGTGGCGGCGCGCCATGTCGTCGTCGTTGTTGTTGTTGTTGTTGTTGTTGTTGTTGTTGTTGTTGTTGTTGTTGCCATGTGTGGGCGTGTGATGGCGGGTGCCGTAGTCGAGAAGAAGAGTTTCGAGGCGGGTCGGTCTATGAAAATAAAGAGAAGCCGATGATGGTCATGCGCTGCTTCATGGTGGCGGGGGTGGCCAAACCAGCAGCCGGCCCGCGGCCCGCCCCGTCCAGCGATGCGTAGCGTAATGTTCGCTCACCTGCAGGTGCTGGGTAGTCGAGTGGGTTTAGCGGCTAGCAGAAAAATGTGGACCGGCGTGGTGATCGTTGCATCGTGCTTTTTTCGGTGGGGGGGTCGTAGCCCCCCGGCTGCAGGGGTTGGGTGGTTCAGCGCGAGCGGGGGAAATCGGCGCAGGTGGAGGAGGGCGGGCGGGACTGTCCGAAGGCTGGCGGGACTGGCAAAAAGGTTGGCGGAAAATGAGGGCTGGGTCTCGCGGGGGGCACAAGCCTTCTTTGTACAAACAAACACAGAGTGAGAACGAACTAGCACGAGAGAGGGGAGACTAGCTCCCGCTCTCTGCTGCAATGAGAGAGAGATCGAGAACGAAGGGGGGGGGGGGGGGGATGGTTTAATCGAGTCTACAGCAGGGGGAGCGTAACAACATATATCTATCCTGAGATGGCATTCGGTGCAGTTTGTATTATCCTTTTTGTGTGTGCAAGTGCCTTGACCTTCGTTCGAGTGAAGGCGATCTCCGCAGATTTTACTCCTACTACTACTACTACTACTACTACTACTACTACTACTATCAAATGTTTTCCCACGCCGTCCTTCGTGTCAATTTACTGTTTGTGCTGGTAGTCTTGTCTTCTTTCATTGCGTCTGTCTTCCAAGGTCTCTTCTTGTCTATCGTCTTCCTTTTTAGTTTGTTGCGTTTCGTCGTTGTTCCGTTTCGTCGTTGTCCTTCATTGTTCCGTCGTTGTCCTTTTATTGTCCTGTCTTCTTGTATCCTAGATGCAGTCTTACATAGCTCTTTTCTTGCGTATGTTGTAATTTTCTTGTCTTGTTTAAATCGATCGCTGCTCGGGTGTGAGAGGTGCATGAAGCTGGGCCACCAATGTTTCCCACAACCCCTGTCCCTGGCTTTTCTGGACTTGGCTCCTGGGAGTTCGTATGCATGTATGTCGTAGAGGCATGATGCTAAGTATTTATGGAGGGTGGGTGAGTGTGATATCTACTTACCACGCACGTGCACGTCCTGCACGCATGCGGTCTATCTATGTCGTGCCGATCTCCCGATGATGATGATGGTGGTGGATTTGTGGCGAAATCAACCACGCACCCGTCTAGTTCTACTATTATTGCTGCCTCCTGCCGCGGCCGGACTGGAAAAAAACTGTTTTTTGTGCTTTGCTACTAGACTGAAAAGGTTTTGATGCTTGTCTTTTTGTCTGGTTTAGGAATGAACGCATGTAGCATGCGTCAAAATGCTCGTTTGGTGGTGTATTGCTTGGATGAAAGGGGTCTTCTCTCTAGCAGCAAATGATTGCTTGCAGCAGCCTCGTCGTCGTCGTTGCCCGCCGCAGGCTGGACGTCGCGCGCCCGCGGCGACACGCACTAGGTACGTACGCACGCACCCCTTTGTCAGGTGCTTGTACCATACCAAACATTCCAAACTTTTGGTGGTCTGGCGTGTGCCGCCGTCTTCGAGGGGGAAGGGCAATTTGACCTTTACCACTCGCTGCTGTAGTAGCAGTAGTCGTAGCAGTAGTACTGTCGCAGCGCGTTTTTTTTCATCATCTGTCTGCACTAACGAGTAGAGAGCTGGCCAAAACGAACAAAGAAGCAGCAGGACTGGCTTGGCCGGCGGTTGCGACCAGTTTTCTTTCGTGGCACACTTGACTTGACTCGGGACTTTTTTCGTAGGGAGCCCCTCGTTTTACGATTGTCTTTGTCATCGATCGCATGATGATGACGACTCGTTGTTTGACTGCCGAACAAACCATCGTGTTTGCGCCGTTGCATGCAATGCATATGCCATCATGCAGTGGTGCGTGCGTGCGTGCCTCGTACTCGTAGTATAAATGCTTTACCTTCTTCAGGCAGGCGTATATCGCACCCACCCCTCTCGCCGTTTTTCAGAAGTAGTCTAGTTCTTTGTTACCCTACCTACCAGCAGATTACCTCCCTCGTGCTTACAGTCTGACGTTGTACATGCAAATTTCCTGGGGTTTATTTCGCCTTTGTCGCAGGAGTGTACGGTGGTCTGGGGGAAGGAAGTGATTGTTGGCGGGGCCTCGCTTGCCGGCGTTTTATTTTTTATTTTTAATGATATGCATGTGTGCGTGCTTACATAGCCTGCCTGCCGTGAACATTATTGGCCCTACAGCCTCGCAGGAGCAAAAATAGCTTCATCTGTTGTATTACATGCAGTGCTTAAGAATATCGCACGCAACGCATGCATGCGGACGACGATAATACCGGAGCCGTGATAATTTTGACGTTTGTTTTTTGGCTGCTCGCTTGGGAATCGCCTAGAGACTATACGCTATGAACTCTTAGTCTGCCAGGACTGCACTTGTACCCTTTTGTTTTTTTCTGTCCTCGCGCTGTCTGGTATGATTAGCCCATAGAGGAGGCGGAGGGGAGGGGGGGG